CACTTTGCATAAATTAGTTTATGAACTCCAGTACTTAATATTATTGCCAGTCAAGTTTAACAGTGTTCGCTTTCACTGAAGTGGCAACATTCTAGTGGTCATCACGGCGTCAATATTAGCTCAATCAGTCACAAGGATCTGGGTTTGAAAGTGAAAACTAACAATAAGGGTTTGTTCTCTGCCGACGTAGACTTCGCGACTACAGGAACATACTATGTTCAGGCCATTGCTACAGTTGACCAGGACTGGGCTACCCAAGGCACTGGTGAAGACATTCCAGTTCCCAAGGTTAAACCACAAACGCACATTGTGAATGCTCGAACCAACGACGACTGGTTGTACTCAAACAACGGCCAAGTCGTTCGTGGTCAAACGGTTTGGACTTCGCAGACGGTCAAGATTGTGGTGACCTGAGGTGTTCGAATCTACAATTTACTACGACTACATCATTGCCACATCCGGATACAGTACTGACGTACGAGCCTCATTAATCAATGACTACAACACAGCACGCAAGTAACGTTTACTTACTGTAAACCGTGTTGGCGTGATAATCGCAACTACTTTGCATTATTTCACAATAAATCGACAATCTACTTGTGATTTGTATTTAGTAGATACAGTAGTAGCACTGAATAAAATACTAATCACACATCTTCCTGCAATGTCCTTTTCCGCAGAGGGGTCAATTCACGACTCGATCGTTCATTCTCCGATTTGACTTGTGGCAGCACAACTCTTCGCAAACGAGCACCCCACCCCACCACCCCAACAAAACAGTAACCACAATGAAGCTTGTCCAAGCCGCAATCGTCGCTGCGGCTGTCGCTGCTGTGTGCATCTCTCAAGTCTGTGCTCGACCTCCTGTCATCCCAGAACACTGCAACGGCCTCGGTATGGCACAGAACCGCAACTGTGTTTAAGTCGAGATGAAATAGCATCCGATAAAAGCCACCTATCGGTTTTCCTTCATACGAGGGTGCTCGGTGGACTCCCCACAACACCAATAAGCAGATTAATAGGCTAAAGTCCGCGCGCGCGATTTGTGTATCTATCAGTCGCCAACGTGCAGCAATGGTGGGTTTTCTTCTTTACATTTTTTTTTTACATGTAATAAAGTTCATTGCAAATAATTGGTCTTATTTTACATGCTAATTTAAAAAATAAAATTTGAATAAAAAACAATTTTTTGCAGATCCCATAATTTTTTAAATGCATTAATTCGTCTCAAAACCATGTCTAGTCTCCGTGTCATTGTATCTGTTCAAGTACCGGACGATGACGACGTGCTCTGCGTAGCGCTGCTGTTCTGCGCCACCTTTGGCGTGGGGTCCATGAGCTTTGGTTCGATCTTCGCGGCCGCTGGACCCGTGCTGGCCGCCATGGGCGTCTACTTCATCTCGGCCTGTAACCTCTAGCAGCAATAGCGCAGTAACTTGGTTTGTTGTCCAGGTCTTCCAAATCATCGGAAGCAGCTACGACGTCAACAGCAGTGACAGAAGGTAGCGGAAAGGTAAGTCACTTGAGTTCGAGTTGGTGAATTCCAGATTGATTCATTAAAATCTTATCTTCACCTTTTCAGTAACGCACTGCTTCACCACAGCGCGAGGAGGGAAGCCCCAGGCACAAAACCCCCTTTGACCAAGTGGTCCATCAATCCGTAAGGAAAGATCACTGGCCTTTCCTGTCAATCCTCCACCGGATTGACAGGCCTCGACACGAGCGTAAGTTCTCTGAGTTTCAGCCGAAAGACTCATACTTCCCCAGAACTTATGCCTTCGTGTCTCCGCTGACATCGACTTTAAGCCGATCTTCCGCCAACGACCGACGCTTTGCCGCGCCCGTTTCTTCGACGCTTCACCACGCCGTCATCTGTGTTTTGACGCTGCACTTCGTCTTCATCTTGGACGTCACGCTTCACCACGTTTTCCACGTCCTCGATACCGAGTAGTTGCCGTAGCTTTTCAAACTGCAGTGGTCCCAGCGCCTTTGTAAACATATCTGTCATATTGTCCGCTGTCGGCACGTACTCGATACACAGTTTCTTTCTTTCCACCAGATCCGCTAACTTGCGGCTTTTCTTGGCATATCTTTTAACTCCATCGAAGTTTCCTGCATCCGTGCACACCTTAATGGTGCTCTGGTTGTCCACGAACAGCTTGCCAATTTGCTGGTTGAACCCCAGCTCCTTAAGCAGCTTCCTCGCCCAGATCACATCCTCGGCACACAGACTCGCAGCAACCAACTCCGACTTGCAAGTGTCGTCTGTAACCGACGGCTGCATTACTCTTGAACCCAACACTGTACCCATTCAGCTTCACCACGTACCCCGAGACAGATCTCGAAGTATCCGGGCAATTCGCATAGTCAGCGTCGCTATAGGCGCTCACTGGTAGCATCTTACTTGCCTTCGATCTCTCCAGACAGTACACCAGTCCGTGAGTCCGAGTCCCTTGTAGGTAACGCAACACTCGCTTTGCAGCGGCGTAATTCTCTTTTGTGTAGCTCCCTCATTATCGACTCAAACTCCTCACGGCATTCGAGATGTCCGGGTTACCAGGTACTGCAGCGCTCCGATCAGCTCCTGGTACTTTATTGACTTGGCGTTGACCTTGCCTTCATCCTTCTCGATCGGTAGCACCTTCTCGTTTTGCATCTGATGTGATTTCACCGCCTTTGCGTTTTCCATCTGAAATCTTGTCAAGATCTTGTCAATGTAGGCAGTTTGAGATAGACACAGCATCACTACTGGCTCGTAGTGCACTCCATGCCCAACAGGTAATGCACGCGACCAAGATCCTTAATGGCGAACTTGCTCTGCAGCTCATTCTTCACCAAGTCAATGTCCTCTCGTGCTCCAACGATCATTACACCATCCACGTAAACGGTCACTAACACCTGCCTACCGTTGATCTTCTTAAAGTAAAGCCCCACATCGTACACACTTCGAGTGAACATCAACTTCACTAAGTATCCGTGTAAAGTCAGGTTCCACAACCTAGCAGCCTGCTTCAAACCGTAGATCCCTTTCAGTAAGAGACACACTCTGCCAGTATTGTCATCGAAAGGCTCTGGTTGCTCCACGTAAATAATCGCATCGTGCTTTCCAAACCGTTGCTTGAAACCGTGTACTACCAACCTCGCCTTTAGTCGCTTCACAGCTCCATGTTCATCTCTCTTTACTTGAAGGACCCACCTTGTAGTCATGACCTTCACCGGCCTTCCCATTCGAGTCAATCGGCCGCTCAACTAGCTTCCACTTGCCGTTCTTGACCAGTGAGTTGTACTGCGTCCTCAGTGCAGCTTCCCAAGCTTCCTTGTACGGCGAAGCCATCGCCTCCTCCAAGTTGTTCGGGTCACTGATGTCCTCTTCCACCAGCAACTGATACCCACTTAGCCTTGTGTTTGCTCGGCGTGTTCTTGTCGAATGTCTTGCTGGTTGTACAGGTCCACCAGTCGCAGCTTGTCCTCGACGTCCACGTCCTTGCCCACGTCCCCGTCGAGCTTGTACTGGCACTTGTACTTGCACTGGTTGAGCTTGTGCAGGTCTTGGTTCTGGTACTTGGGGTTGAGCTGGTCCTTGGCCTTGTCCACTTAATTGTAGTTCAGTTTGGTCTTCGCCTTCAGACTCGTCACTATCTAAAGAAGTTTCAGCTCCTGATCCATCCACCGACATTGGTTCTGTAGTAAGCTCCTCAGATAAACTCCTCTGTATAGTACGCGATGCTTCCTCATGTACGCTCTCCTCTGCAACATATTCAACCGGCAACGGCACAAACGGAATGTAACTGTAGGACTTGTGCTGTCCAGCCAATAGTGCATCCAAATACTTCCTACTAACAGTCACATCTTCACGAAACTGTACATCGCGAGCTTCCACGATTTTTCCAGTTCGCAAATGCAGTAAACGATAGCCAGGTGACGCATGTGCAAAGCCCAGTAGCAGCGCAGGTTCAGCCTTCGGACTGAGTTTGTTCTTCCTCTTAGCCTCATAAACAAAACCGATACATCCACAAACTCGAATTTTCTTCAAATTCGGATTCTTTCCGTGAAGTTTTTTTCGATGGGGTCTTGCCATTGAGGGCTCTCGTCACGCTCATATTGTCTATCTGCACGATGTACTGTAGCACTTCAGGCCACAGCTTACTCGGCATGTCCACAGCTTGCATTGCAGCATGAGTCTTGTGGGTCAATATTCCATTCAGCTTCTCCACCAGAGCGTTCTCCTCTGGAGTGTATGCATGTGTAGGTATGAAATTAATCCCTTGAGACCACCTAATTCAGAGTTTGCAAATTCACCTCCGCCATCGCTAGAGAACACCTTGATTTTGTGTCCCTGTGCCAGTAGCTTCTTAATCAACGCGATAGTATTCGCATTTGAATCATGTTTCTTCCTGATAGGATAACACCACTTGAATCTGGAACCTTCGTCTTGTATGAGTTGGAAATAACGATAATTGCCAGTTCCAGGAATGTAATTGCCCATGTCACAAGTGTCTGACATTAACCTATCATAGTTCACCTTGGTTCTCTTCTCTTGGCACTCTTCTTGTATGACATGCGTCTGCGTTTCGCTGACAAGCATATCATGCACTCGAACTTCTTTTTGAAGAGGTCTGCTGGAATTTCCATACCATCTACCACTTTGTTTTCCACCTTGGTCTTAATTGCCGACACGTTCAGGTGTCCAAGTCGTTCATGCCAACGCATCAGCAGACTAGCATCAGCGTTTACAGTAGAGAGCAGGTTGAGAGATCCAGTGTCCAGCCAATAATGAACTCCACGTTTCACAAATTCGAGTCTCCCAGCAGCGGAATCAAGCCAACACTTCCTTGGCTCACCAGCCGTACTGAACGAGGGAATCCTGCCTTCACTCTCCATCTTACCTAAACTCACCAAGTTCACTGTTCCAGCCGGAGAGAACTCCACATCTTTCAGTTCCACTTCGCACGACTTGCCAATCACATTTTCATCCAGAACACACAACTTAACAGAGCCGCTCATCACGCCCTTGGTTAGTTCTCCAGTCCAGACTTTAAATACAGCCTTAGACTTCTTCACAGGTCTCGATCACCACAGACGTGCGTCGCACTACCGCAGTCCAACATCCACGAGTTCGGCCTGTTCCCGTGATCTTCTTTTAGCACCATACCAGTCATCGGGTGGTCATCATCACTTCCATCATCACTGCTACTACTGCTTGCGTAGGTTCGCATTATCTTCGGTGCTCTTGGATTCAAAATCAGCAAGTTGTCCTGCACAGCCGACTCCTTATTGTCTTCATCCTTGTTCTTCTTCTTCTTCTTGGACTTCCCCGATTTCTTGGTTTATTTCTGGTTCTCTTTTGGCTTCCTCTGCATGTTGAGAAAACCCCAGCACTCACGCTTAATGTGTCCGAGCTTGCCGCAGTGAAAATACTTGCGCTTCTTCTTCCACGCTCCCCCGTTTCCAGTACTGCCGCTCCCTTGTTGTTGGGGTCCAGTTCTGGTCACGCTCATCACCACAGCTCCCCCGTTTTGAGTGCTTCCGACTCCATTTTCCGTGATATGATCTCGTTCATCTCTTGACCGCAGTGCGTTGGTTACCTGTTGCTTGTTCGGAGGATTTCCTTGGCGAGTAGGTACGTCAAACTGATCCACCAAGTCCCGGTGCGTTTGCATGAACGTCCGTGTTAAGCAAAATGATGTCGCTCCTAAAATATGATGTGTCGCCATCAATATCTGAGGTTACCGAGACTGAATTGTTGTTATTGGCGAACACCAGGAGAGTAATAGTGTACGTACTGGAGCCATCGCGAATACTCCATAATACGACGGCTTTGGTCTTCAGCTTTTGTTCTGTATCTTGACCTTAATAATTTCCAAGTTACACCAGGCTACTCTAAGTTCTGCCGTAAATTACGATGCGAACATGGATATCCTTCTTCAAGTTCCCATTCGTTTTTTTTTTTAGTCTGTAACTAGATATTTCATGCCATCATCTGGTAAGAGTGACTTGGGCGGCTACGCTGGCACCGAGTGTGCAGAGTGTTGATCCCATTCTTGGTTACGGCTTTGAGACGCTCTATCTTGGATCCACCAACGCCGAATATCGCTCTAACTTGTGCGTCTGGAACGCCTTGGCCAGTCAAGGAGAGAACCATACCCTCCGCTTGAGGGTGCTCGGTTCCGCCCCATTTGAATTCTAGTGACTTGTACGTGGCTTGTAACTGCTCAACTTTCTCAGTGCCAAATAGAGCACAAGCACGCTCAAACGCTGTCAGTCGATTCCGAGGCTTTTGTTTCTTCCGTGGTGCAGTCTGGCTCGAGCCACCTGTACCGCCAGTTCGTCGTTCTATCGTAGGAGGGT